TTCCCTACATGCATTCTCAACAAGGGCAATATTGCCCCCTAGGGGGCAAAAATCGATTCTTGTTGGGGAGAGGTGAAAAAATCTTAGATACTTATTATATATTACAATGGTTTGTGGCTCTCTAAAGTTCAGCCCTACCCAACAAAGTCTTACTGCTTAATATTTAATTTTATGGGGAGTGGTCAGGGCATGGCAATCAAGAAAAAAAGAGTTTAAACACTGGTTTAGTGCTATGGGAAGTTGGTATCTAGAAGGGAAATAATTATGTGAGAATTGCATGATAAATGTCAGAAAGGAATCCATGAATAATTGAACTCAAAGAGGGACTCAGACAGGCCTTTCTCTTTCACCTCTGTCACAGCTGCATCCCTCTGGCTTGAGACCTATACTCTCACTGGTTAGGTACTCACTCTGGGGAAAGCGGGGTGGGTTATCATTGACATCTGAGAGGGTGATGTTGACCGTTGTGGTCCCAGCTAATCCGCCAAGCTGCCCTCCCATGTCCTTGGCTTGGATAATCACTTCATAGTATTCTTTGGCTTCTCGGTCCATGTTCATGAGTGCTGTCCTAATTACACCTGCAGGATAGAAATGACTTTGTTTTTAAAAACAAAACCACATGTTCCATTTTAAAGATTGGGTTCTAGGCTTCTCCTTGTGCATTGTTAATAGCTAGAGTTGAGATGCAAGTCACATGTTTTATTAAATTTGAGGTCAGAATCCCAGCGTCAAAAAAATGCTGGGCTTAAACAAAGGGTGAATAAATAACTATTCCAGCCAGCAGAGCTTCGTGGGCCGATGTTCCTTTGGCAACATTACTGAGAAAGAACAGGAGGTGGCAGCAGTGCTTCTCTAACAGGCTGGGGGACTGGCAGTCTGAGACAGTTTCAGGCTGCTCTGTCTCACCAGACAAAACGGGCTTCGGGTCCGGAAAATAAAGCCTCATATGCCTGCAAGTCTGTGATTTTAGATAATTCTCCTTTAGCACTTTCTTTCTTCATTCAGCCCCTAGAGCCCTTGTAGTGTGAATGACTCTTCTTTAGGCAACTCGTTCCTAGTCTGCTTTCTCCTGCCTCCACAGTAATTGTAAGCAGGGTTGGAATTCAGATTTGCTTTTCCTTTTGTTATATGTTCATTCTGTTTTGTTAGGTTCTGCTTACCTCTGCTTCAGTGCATTCCATGAGCTAATAAGACATGAAAGATGCTCTGTGAGTTGTTTATTTTTAACAGACATACAGGATGATCTCCCCCAGACCGTAGGTAGCAGCATTGCCGTATGATGATATGGTTTCAGTTAGGAAGAGGAGTCTAAGACAAAATCCTGTGAAATGTGTTGTTTTGATCCTGCCAAGGATGTGTGGTAATGTTTTATCTTCCTTTGAACCCTTCCACTTAGAAAAGTTGACTTCTGTGCTCTCTAGGCAAAGATTAAAGGCTTGTTTACTTCAAGTTTACAACATGACCCTTGGCTAAGCAGACCTTTTGCATGCCAAGGGAAGGAACTGGAAACCACAAACCTGTCCCCATTTTACTCCTATAATGTATATATATTGCATTATAGTAACAACATTCTAAAGTGAAATATTTAGCATTTTCTTTTTTAAAATGGCCTATGGGCATGGCAATAACGATCTTTTCATGTATTTTTTTCTTTTTTCTTTTTTTTTTTTTTTGCGGTACGCGGGCCTCTCACTGTTGTGGCCTCTCCCGCTGCGGAGCGCAGGCTCCGGACGGGCAGGCTCAGCGGCCATGGCTCACAGGCGCAGCCGCTTCGCGGTATGTGGGATCCTCCCGGACCGGGGCACGAACCCGCGTCCCCTGCATCGGCAGGCGGATTCTCAACCACTGTGCCACCAGGGAAGCCCCTTTTCATGTATTTTTGACCTTAACACTATAGATGCCCCCTGGGAGCTGTCAAAATAAGTAAGGTTCCTCGTGGGATGTAAAGGACACATTACCGTCTTCCTGTCTGTATTTTTCCTCCCTGTGGGCACCCCCTCACTCTCCCTCCCTCCATCTGTAGAATGGTTAAAGTTACTGTTTTATGGAAGTCCCTAACAGCAACCTTTTTTCTTTCCTCCTACTAATGTATACTCCCTCACTTTCTACTTTTATGATACAGTTTTCCAAATGCCTGGTTCCCCTGAGGGCTTCTGGAAAAAAATTATATCAGGTTGCTAATAGAAATGTGTTTTTTCTATTTCCTGTAAAGGGATGACTTTGAGTGTTTGTCATTGATTTACCTCTGTGGCTGTAAGTTCTTTACTCAAGTTTTGTGTTAATTACTCTTCGGTCCTCAGTTTTCCTGTATGTGAAATGGGGGTAACAACACTTCCATATATTTCACTAGTTCGCAAGATTATTGGGAGGCTCAAATATGGTAATATTTATGAATGTATTTTAAAAGGGAGAAAGTCTGGCACAAGTGCAAGATAATAATCATAATAATTGCTCTGCCCAACTTGAAAGTATTAAAGGGAGTCCTTCATAGATAAGACATAAATTCTGTAGTCAAAGCTCTTGGGTAAAATTGAAAACAAAACAAAACAAAAATCCCAAAGCCAAATTGATTTGTTGATTGTTGACGTGTTCTTTTCTAGCACATTGCTCCTTACCTCCTTACCCACCCAGTTCTCTATGCTGTCCTCCCTGTTAGAGTGTCCCACTTAGCACCTCCTTTCTGGGGGGCCACATTCCATACTCTGTGCTCTCTCCCCCCTCATCACATTCATCCATTCATTCTGGCCTTGCTCTCTGCTTAGTACGGGGTGGCTCAGTGGGAAGAACATCAGACCACATGTCAGGGGACATCTCTACAACCAGAAGTACTTTGTTAGGTCTCTGTTCCCAATTTCCTTATCCTTTAAGTGAAGAGTGATGGACTGGATTATTCCCCTAAGGTTCTTCCTAGTTTCAAAATCAATTATTCTAGTGCTGTAGTGAGCCCAGGTTAATATGCCAATCCTTTTAGATCTTCTTGGCGTTATAAAAGACCTTACTCCCTGGGAATAAATACAACCATAGGATTTTTGCAGGTTAGTGAGGAGGTATACTTTTGTGTAAGCAGTTCTTTGGGCCTCTCCAATCAGACTTTATCCACTGTCTATGCATTGTGCTGCTCTTATCCACCAGGGCAGTGCTAGTTTGGTCTCTTAATCCCAAAGCTTATAACAATCCTCTCTAGTTAATACATTCCCTGGAGAGTTCTTGAAAAGGAGAATTGGGTCTGTCATAAATAGCAGTTACAAATTATTAGAGAATAAAATCAACACCTCTGACTCAAGTATTATATCACATACCTGTTTTGGAGTCCACAGAAAAATATGGCTGGCCCTGGAGGATGCTGTACATTACCCGGGCACTGTTGCCATAGGTTGGGTCATCAGCATCTGTGGCTGTCACCTGGATAACAGAAGTTCCTGAGGGAGAGAGATGGTGGAAACCTATTCAAGTTGAATTGCTAAAGGCTGAATGCAATCCTGAATTTTATGCAGTTTTAAAGCATTTGCAGTTTTAAATGCAGTTTTAAAGCATTTGCAAATGTTATGTCTGCTTCCTTGGGAGGGCCTCTTTCTAGGTCAAGTTTCCATAACTGCTTAGTACAGAAGTACCTCTTCAGTGGGGATGGGAGTTACTTGTGTTTTAAATTCTTAGTAACTCGTAATGACAACACAGTCTTTGGGCCCTTCATTCCTCTTTTTGATAATACCAAAATGCTTCTCCCTTATGAATCAAATATTATCTATCTATCATCTATATTTTGTTTTGCTTTTTAAGAACCGGAAGTGAATAACAATACTAGGCTTAGTCTTACTACTGTTTTATACTATGGATGTCTTCATTGTCTAAGTAGCTTGGTAGAGTTTTATGATTTGTGAACTGTTCTGCACATTCTGTCCATCTCCACGTTTAGACAGGAGGATCTTCTGTAGTGGAACCTCTGTTTGTGAGAATCAGTGAATCTCCACCTTACCCACTGGTGACATTTCTGGCACAGTGGCGACATAAGGTCCATCCAGGAACTTGGGCTCATTGTCATTGATGTCTTGGATTTTAATGATGAACTCTGACTCTGGCTCCATTGGCCTGCCCGTCCGCCTGTCCAGGGCTTGAGCCCTTAAAGTGTACTGGGCCCTTTCCTCTCGGTCAAGCCTCTGAATGGCGTGGATGTCTCCAGTGGTGTCGTCGATGGTAAACACGACACCTGCACCTTCTCCAGAGAGGATGTATTTGATGGATCCATCCCCCCGGTCCATGTCTGAATGAAGCTGAGGAAAAAAAGCACCGACATATTAACAGGTGTCAGAAATAAATAGATTTCTCAGTATGGTCTAAAGCGGTACGCGGGCCTCTCACTGTTGTGGCCTCTCCCGCTGCGGAGCGCAGGCTCCGGACGGGCAGGCTCAGCGGCCATGGCTCACAGGCGCAGCCGCTTCGCGGTATGTGGGATCCTCCCGGACCGGGGCACGAACCCGCGTCCCCTGCATCGGCAGGCGGATTCTCAACCACTGTGCCACCAGGGAAGCCCCTTTTCATGTATTTTTGACCTTAACACTATAGATGCCCCCTGGGAGCTGTCAAAATAAGTAAGGTTCCTCGTGGGATGTAAAGGACACATTACCGTCTTCCTGTCTGTATTTTTCCTCCCTGTGGGCACCCCCTCACTCTCCCTCCCTCCATCTGTAGAATGGTTAAAGTTACTGTTTTATGGAAGTCCCTAACAGCAACCTTTTTTCTTTCCTCCTACTAATGTATACTCCCTCACTTTCTACTTTTATGATACAGTTTTCCAAATGCCTGGTTCCCCTGAGGGCTTCTGGAAAAAAATTATATCAGGTTGCTAATAGAAATGTGTTTTTTCTATTTCCTGTAAAGGGATGACTTTGAGTGTTTGTCATTGATTTACCTCTGTGGCTGTAAGTTCTTTACTCAAGTTTTGTGTTAATTACTCTTCGGTCCTCAGTTTTCCTGTATGTGAAATGGGGGTAACAACACTTCCATATATTTCACTAGTTCGCAAGATTATTGGGAGGCTCAAATATGGTAATATTTATGAATGTATTTTAAAAGGGAGAAAGTCTGGCACAAGTGCAAGATAATAATCATAATAATTGCTCTGCCCAACTTGAAAGTATTAAAGGGAGTCCTTCATAGATAAGACATAAATTCTGTAGTCAAAGCTCTTGGGTAAAATTGAAAACAAAACAAAACAAAAATCCCAAAGCCAAATTGATTTGTTGATTGTTGACGTGTTCTTTTCTAGCACATTGCTCCTTACCTCCTTACCCACCCAGTTCTCTATGCTGTCCTCCCTGTTAGAGTGTCCCACTTAGCACCTCCTTTCTGGGGGGCCACATTCCATACTCTGTGCTCTCTCCCCCCTCATCACATTCATCCATTCATTCTGGCCTTGCTCTCTGCTTAGTACGGGGTGGCTCAGTGGGAAGAACATCAGACCACATGTCAGGGGACATCTCTACAACCAGAAGTACTTTGTTAGGTCTCTGTTCCCAATTTCCTTATCCTTTAAGTGAAGAGTGATGGACTGGATTATTCCCCTAAGGTTCTTCCTAGTTTCAAAATCAATTATTCTAGTGCTGTAGTGAGCCCAGGTTAATATGCCAATCCTTTTAGATCTTCTTGGCGTTATAAAAGACCTTACTCCCTGGGAATAAATACAACCATAGGATTTTTGCAGGTTAGTGAGGAGGTATACTTTTGTGTAAGCAGTTCTTTGGGCCTCTCCAATCAGACTTTATCCACTGTCTATGCATTGTGCTGCTCTTATCCACCAGGGCAGTGCTAGTTTGGTCTCTTAATCCCAAAGCTTATAACAATCCTCTCTAGTTAATACATTCCCTGGAGAGTTCTTGAAAAGGAGAATTGGGTCTGTCATAAATAGCAGTTACAAATTATTAGAGAATAAAATCAACACCTCTGACTCAAGTATTATATCACATACCTGTTTTGGAGTCCACAGAAAAATATGGCTGGCCCTGGAGGATGCTGTACATTACCCGGGCACTGTTGCCATAGGTTGGGTCATCAGCATCTGTGGCTGTCACCTGGATAACAGAAGTTCCTGAGGGAGAGAGATGGTGGAAACCTATTCAAGTTGAATTGCTAAAGGCTGAATGCAATCCTGAATTTTATGCAGTTTTAAAGCATTTGCAGTTTTAAATGCAGTTTTAAAGCATTTGCAAATGTTATGTCTGCTTCCTTGGGAGGGCCTCTTTCTAGGTCAAGTTTCCATAACTGCTTAGTACAGAAGTACCTCTTCAGTGGGGATGGGAGTTACTTGTGTTTTAAATTCTTAGTAACTCGTAATGACAACACAGTCTTTGGGCCCTTCATTCCTCTTTTTGATAATACCAAAATGCTTCTCCCTTATGAATCAAATATTATCTATCTATCATCTATATTTTGTTTTGCTTTTTAAGAACCGGAAGTGAATAACAATACTAGGCTTAGTCTTACTACTGTTTTATACTATGGATGTCTTCATTGTCTAAGTAGCTTGGTAGAGTTTTATGATTTGTGAACTGTTCTGCACATTCTGTCCATCTCCACGTTTAGACAGGAGGATCTTCTGTAGTGGAACCTCTGTTTGTGAGAATCAGTGAATCTCCACCTTACCCACTGGTGACATTTCTGGCACAGTGGCGACATAAGGTCCATCCAGGAACTTGGGCTCATTGTCATTGATGTCTTGGATTTTAATGATGAACTCTGACTCTGGCTCCATTGGCCTGCCCGTCCGCCTGTCCAGGGCTTGAGCCCTTAAAGTGTACTGGGCCCTTTCCTCTCGGTCAAGCCTCTGAATGGCGTGGATGTCTCCAGTGGTGTCGTCGATGGTAAACACGACACCTGCACCTTCTCCAGAGAGGATGTATTTGATGGATCCATCCCCCCGGTCCATGTCTGAATGAAGCTGAGGAAAAAAAGCACCGACATATTAACAGGTGTCAGAAATAAATAGATTTCTCAGTATGGTCTAAATTTATGATTTCCTTTCAAACAGAAAGACTTTTTTTCACTCAGATGTCTAAAATGTCTACAGAGAACTAATATGCATTGAACATGATTATATCAAAGAGCAAATATAAGTTGATGAATAAGTAAAGTTTCTCCACATCCCATTCAGTATCCTTAACTTAGTACTGTTTTTGAAGTTCCTTTCCCTGAGAAGTATAGAAAACAGGAGTTCTGGAAAGTGTAGGTCCCAATGTGTACATTAGGAGCAAGTCTAATAAGAAGGAATCCAGCCTTTCCATTTAATTTTTTTTTTTAAATGGACACGCTAAACATTTAAAAATTGTACAAGTGTTGATATAAATTAAGTTTTGGAATTTCAGAAACTTTATGACAATTCGAGTTGGCTGAGAAGCTGATGAAATAGCTAATAAATAGACCAGTGGCCACCATACTGGAAATACAAAATGACTTCCAGGGGCTCTTGAAATTCTCTGAATTCCATAGTTTCACTCAGTGGGACTATGCTTGTTTATGTTTCAGGCATCAAAATGGAATTTTACTGCTGGTTATTATTCTTTGTATCAGTGTATCTCTCCTTTTGGTGGGATCAGTTCTTGGCCTCATAACTGAATCACTCAAATCTATATGTGGAAGGTTCTGTTAGGGACATGCTTTTATCTGTCCATCCAGCTATATTTCCTCCCAAATTACTTTGTAACGACTCTCGAAATGAGTACAGGGGCACTATTTTCATATTAAGCCTAGAAATAAACTCCTGCACCCCTAATTATAGACAATGTATATAGATGGCAAGAACCCTGGAATTTTGTGCTATCTTATAATAGTCCTTCTCTAAGGGGGCAATAGAAAATTAGTTACACTTAGCTACCACCAGCTCTAGTTGTTGCTGGGGTAGTTAGCACTTTGCATAGCTCAGTGATGAAGTCCATGAGATATAGTTTATAAAACAGACAGCCAGTATTAGGGTTAGGCCAGAGAGGCAAGTATATCTGGCCTGAACACTGTCTGTATCAGTTATAAATTGAGTGCCCTTGACAAATTATTTAACGCTTATAACTCTCAAGTTCCTCATATTATAAATGTAGAGGACAATGTTAATTCTTACTGTGAAGGTTTGTTGGGCTCATTAGAGATTAATGTATGTAAAGCACCTAGTACAGTGTCTTTCCCATAATGGGAAAGCTATAAATGGGGCCAATTACCATGATGATATACGTGCATAGAGAGAAGGGTATTAACATGCCCAGCTCCTCTGTACTCCCTTCAAACCTTCAGGAGTGTAGCAGAGACGGCAAAAAAACAACCTGTTGGCCTTTTTGTTATGCATAGCCCAATGGTAGAAGCTGGAGAAGGCTGCCTGAAGCATTGCTGGGACAGTGTTAGTCTGAGGATTAAATGGCACGGACACCAAGAAGACACCTGAAAGTGTATTCACAACATCCTCAGACAAGGATGGGTTTGGAGGTTGTGGCTGGTTTTGAGCTGATCTCAAATTGACTCATGGCCACATCACACAGACAGCAATTTTGCTGCCTAGAGGAATTCAGCTGTGTCTTATCTACAGAAGGGAAGTAAGAGAACAAAATTGACCGAAAAAATAGCTGTGGATTTTTTTCTACTTAAAGAATTCTATTGAGAATATAAAGTTCTCCCATTTTCTCATTTCATATACAGTATTATTATTTTTTATAAAGTTCTCCCATTTCCTCATGCCATATACAGTATTATTATTTTTTTATCGCAATCCAAATTTTCTGTTTACGCAGTTAAAAAGGCAGAGGTGCCTAGCTCTTACTGTGTAGAGTAGAAAGCCATTTTATTTGGACCCGGCCACAAAGAAACGAAAATCCATTCCGTCTGGAACTGTGTTCCCAGGCAGAGGAATGGAATTGGGAGGAGGAGGACAGGGATCTAAGGATTAAAAAAAAAAAATGTATATATTTGTGTGTGTTTACATATATATGTCTATACATGTATAAATATAAATATACATATAAATACGTGTAGTTTTAAGGCATGTGGCATAGAACTTTCACTTAGGGTGAAATAGGTTAATTCAGGGCATGGCAGATTATCCAGGGGAAAAAGAAAGAATAGAAGCTGACGTTAAAGAAAATACCCAGGATTGTTTTGAGGTGTTCTATTTGTCATCTAAAAAGTTTTGTCCTATGAACATTAAGAAAGTTAAGCATACTTGTGATCATCATAGGCCAAGTTTAAGTGCTCTGCCTATGGAGAGTACTTAATAAGTAACAGGAGGCTAGAAATCTTTGCTGGTTCTGGTTCCTCAGGAGCTGCTCGGCTGGCTGATGTCAGTGGAGTCTGGGCTGAACCTTGGATCTGTTACCTTTGTTTTTGTTTGTATTGAGAGAAGAATTGGAGGAACTCTCTAGACTGTGAGTTCCTTGAAGTCAGGAACCGCGTGGCTTTCATCTTAGTGTGAATCCTCACGTGTAGCAAATGCTCAATAAAATTTTATTGAATGAGTGGTGTAGGGTGTAGTAGTAGGGTTAAAGCTTTTAGTGAAACCACGTTACCTTTGCCTTAAAAGAGCTGGCAAGCACCTTTCAGGTACCTTCTTTGTGTGTGTGTGCTTATGCGCAAGAAACGGGGAGAGGAGGGGGGGGGGAGGACATCCACAGAGAAGCAGGAGGGCCTCCTATGAACAGGAAGAGTACAAGCTATGAAAAGGGCCAGGATCTGCTTACACAGAACTAGTTTCTGGGGACTATACAGTTGACCCTTGAACTACATGGATTTGAACCACGGGTGCGCTTATAAAAAATCCACGGGTGGATTTTTTTCAATAGTATATGCTGCAAACAGTATTACACATGAATCTGTGGATGCAGAACCACGGATACAGAGTAAACGGTGATTATGGAGGAACCATGGATAGAGACAGAGGGCCGACTCTGAAGTTAAAAATGGATTTTCCAGGGTGTGGACGGTTGGTGCCCCTAACCCCCACGTTGCTCAAGGGTCACCTGAAATTGTATCAGTTCAGGATCTAGTCAGGGAGCAGAGCCCACACCAGTCATTTTAGCAGATAGAATTTAATATGAAGGATTAAAAAGGCAGAAAGGGAACATTGAGTTATCATAGGAGAGATATAACTCCAGGAAACAGCTAGTGCCCCTCTGGCTGGGGGAGCAGAGGGCAGGAGTTGGGGCTCTTGGAATCTGGGCTTTTGGAGGAGGCTGGGCCAGAGACCTCTGAGAAGGGAGCGCTGCCCCGTCAGGCTGGAGCTTCAGGAGTTTAGAGGTGCCCCCCAGCGCCCACCTGCCATGGAACTGAGACTCAGACTTCTGAGAAGGCGGCGCCATCCAGTGGTGCTGATGTTTCTCAGCGGGTGTGATGAGGCTGGGGCTGGGAGTGTGGAAAGAATCCAGAAACTGGAATCAACTGCTGCAGGTAAAAGGAACAAGTCCCTTCTCCCTCTTCCTGCCTCTGGTTCTCCCTGTAGTGCATTCTACTCTCAGAACCCAGTGGGAGCTGGTTGGAAAAGGAGAAACTGTGGTTTGCAGAGTTCCAGCCCCAGCATCGCAAAGTGGAGTATGGAAAGGTGAATACAGAGCTGAGACACTAGCTTAATAACCAGCACAGTACTGTGCATTTAATATTAGGTTTACCAGCCACATTTGGTTGTGAAAATTGAAAAGAAGAGATATTAACAGCTTTTCTCTAAGTCACTCAGCAAATTGGCACTGCAATAAAAATGTGTTTTATATTTATCCATACTTAATTCAGCTAACACTGACTGAGCACCAGCTCTTTGGAGGAAGGTAAGGAGCTTCTGGAGTGGAGTTGGCAGCACATGGTTATGTACTTATACTAGACAGGCAGGTGGATAGTCCGCTTAACCTAACAATTCTTTAGTCTATAAGGTCTTGAGCCAAAGGAGTAGTGAATGATGGGAAGTACATGAAGATCATGAAAAAATGTTAAACACAAGGGTGACTTTCACTCCTTTTGCTGTCTTTCATGGTGCCTCGTATAGTTCCAGGAATGCAGCAAGTGCTTACAATTTGCGGTTAGACAGCTTCCATGTAGTTGTTAACCTCAGCATGACTTGGGACCACAGGTTTGTGCACAAGCACAAGCTCTCTGCATCCCCCTCTTTGCATATGTCAATATAATCTAGCTTTAACTCGACACTGCCTTGTCCCTGGAAAGCCCAGTGTGGATTTTATAAGGCCATACCAATTACAGCTGATAATTGTTACCACACTTCTTTCTGAAATAAGCAAATACTCAGGCCAGCTCTCTAAACAGACATCTTCCAGAGCTCAAGGTGACAAGCTGAAATGCCCCTGGAAGAGAGGGAATGAAAGGTGGTTGGATTCTCTTTCAAAAGAAAGTAAAGGGGAAAAGTGCCTGGGTACGTGAATACATAATTATCTTCTTCATATGGAGGTGACACACCCAATTCAGGGTAAAAACTTTCATTGTTTGCTGGAGTGTTGGTTGGACAGGATGACTGTGGAGATGCGGAGGTATCCTGTGTCCTGGGTTGGGATGATTAAGAAAGGGTGAGCACTAATCATGAGTACTAGAGGGTACTACACAGCTGTGTGCTCCCACCTTCAGGAAACAGGCTTGGTTACATTCCTGGTCTCACTGACACCATTGATGCTTCTGTGTATCTTTCAGGGCTAGGTCTAAAGTCATGGCCATGTGCAGGGCAGCGTAAAAGAAAGCCCATGGCTTCGGTTTCAGATTTCCTGTTGCCTTCTGTGTAACTTTGGGCAAGGAACGTAACCTCTCTGAGCCTTGTTCCCTACTCTAATTATCAAAAAGTAGTGAATTATACTTACCCCGTAACATTGTTATGATGATTAAATGATCTGCTTTATGAGAATATGACTGACACATGGTACTGTGGTAGCCCAGAAACTTGTCAGATACTCTTGTCTTTCTGCATTTTTGTATGTCCAGTTCTGTGCTGGGTACTCAGTGTTAGGGAAATGTAGGGAAGGCCAGGGATGGCATCTCAGTTTCTATCTTTGGGAGCAGGGAGGAGGGCTCTAAACTGTACAAATACACAAAACAATTACCGAATACAAAAACATTTTCTTAAACCTATTTTAGCAGTAGCTATGTGTGTCTAGTTGGAAGAAATGTTTTACAAATATCGAGTTGCTAGAGATCTTTGGACTCTGAATAGGTGGAAGATGTATTCATGATGGAAAAGGCTTTTAAGCTGGGGCCCTGAGAAATTTGAATGTGATTGAACAGAGAGGAGCTGACCGTTTGTCCTTGGCATGACAGTAGCATGGGCACTCATCTGGGGTAGAGCAGGGACTGACGTAGTATGTTGTGTCAGGGCCAGTAAGGAGACCCAGCTTGACTGATATCAGGACAGGATTTGAGAAATCCTAGGGGACGGTTGGATAAGGGAGGAGGACTCATTTTCTGGAAGTCCTTGAACTGTATGCTAAGAGCTCTGATAAGCACTGGAGAGCTACAGTGCTTTCTTTTTTTTTTCTTTTCTTTTTTTTTTTTTTTTTT